TTTAAGGTAAGGATTTATAGAAATATTTAAAATTTCAGAGGGCCAAATGAGGTAAAAACATAAAAATTAAACAAACTCTATAAAGTTTTATTCAGCGCTACTTAAATTGACATCATGAAGTGATATATACCATWAACCACCAATTCAGCTGTGTAATTTACAGCTGCAGCATAATTTTTCGCTTTACAACTGTATTTGCCGGCATGTCTAGCATGCACATTGTCTATGGTCAACATACTGGTACGTTTACCACCTTTCACTACAGTTATACCCGAGTAAAAACTTATAGCATAGTCATTGAACAGCCATTCGATATCAATGGGTAAATCACCAGAAGAAATGAGGCAAGTTATCGAAACAGAGTCTTCAACATTCGCCGGTTCCTCACCGAAGTCGAAGGGTGTAATTTTAGGAGGCACTTATGTATGTATGAGAAAAWGCGGGATATGAAAAAAAATTAATACATAAAAATTCTTTGTAAATAAGTTTAAAGTTGTAAGCACATACAAATTAAAAATAATATTTAGCTGAATAGTAAGATTTTTTTTTTAAATAACCGTTAACAATCAACTGTGCTGAGTACTCATCCGTTGCTGCTTTATTACGTGCTTTACAGCTATAGTTTCCCGCATGTCCGGCATGTACTGAGTCGATACTGAGCAAGCTAATACGCTTTCCACCTCGCATAACGTTAACACCCGCAAAATAGTTAACCGGTTCGCCATTAAAAAGCCATTCAATATCAATTGGCATATCTCCAGAAGAAATTAAGCAATTTACCGAAACTGAGTCCTCAAAGCTCGCAGGTTTGTCACCAAAATCGAATGGCACAATTTTTGGTGGTGCTGAATTACAATTTTTGTAAATAAAAATATTCTTAGTTTGTTAAATTTTTTTTAAAAAAGAGGCACTATCGCAAATCTGTATATTCATAAACTCGAATATATGAATATCAACAACAGKTTTTCGTAAAATATTTTGTAAGCTTTTACTTTCAGATGTTTTATTGCGCTTAATTAACTATTTGAATGTAAAACAGCTCACATTCTGCAACAATTTTCAAACAAACATATCAGCACTTCTCTACATTTATGAAAAGGATCTATATTAAATCAAAAACAACATACAAACTACAGAAAGCGTAACTTAAATTAAATTCAGCTCAAAACTCAAAGAAAAAATACCATTAACAATCAATTCCGCTGTGTACTCCRCAGCAGCTGCATCATTACGCGCTTTACATGTATAGTTGCCCGCATGGCCGGCATGCACGGAGTCTATAGTCAGTATACTAGCCTTTTTGCCACCCTTCACTATAGTCACCCCAGTATAAATGTTTATTGGCTGGCCATTAAACAGCCAAGTGATRTCCATTGGTAAATCACCCAAATATATGAGACAATTTACGGAGACTGATTCTTCGAAATTCACCGCGTGATCACCAAAATCGAAATGTGCAATTTTCGGGGGAACTAAAAGTGGTGTGTGTTAAGGAATTAAGAAAAAATTAATGACGAAAAATTATTATATTAAAGAAAGTTTAGAACTTTATCATCTTAGATTACTAAATGCAAAACAAATACCGTTCACGATCAATTCAGCGGTATAATTTACGGATGTTGCCTTATTGGCGGCCACACATGTATAGTTGCCAGCATGATGGCCACGCACATAATCGATGGAGAGCGCGCTTATCTTTTTACCAAGTTTCACCATTGAAACATCGTAGACATTGTCGTTGATTTGGCGATCATTAAAAAGCCAAGCAAAGCTTACAGGAAAATCACCAGAGGTTACCAAGCATTGTACACTAGCTGATTCGCCAAAATTCGAGGGTTCTTCGCCGAAATCAAAATTTGCGATTTTAGGCGGCACTTGAAACAGGAGTGGTGGGAAAGTTAAGTGTAGGAAAAGGTGCACAAATTATTTTTGAAAAGTAAAACTTAAGTATTTATATTATAAAAATGTATATTGAGCGCATTCCGCACCGTTAACGCGCAATTCAGCGGTATGATTAACGCGCCCAGCGCGATTTTCAGCTATGCAGCTATAGTTTCCAGTATGTTTGGCCGACACAGATTCAATTGTAAGTTCACTAATGCGTTTACCACGTTTCGTTGTAATAATTTCAAGATAATCCTCGAATGGTTTACCATTCAGAGTCCATGTAATGCGAACTGGTAAATCACCCCCGGCAATGGTGCACTGTATATTAACAAACTCGCCGAAACTCATCGATTCTTCGTTAAATGAAAATGGGTTGATCTTGGGTGGTACTGAGCAAATAAATCAGTAAAAAATCTAATAAGCTTGCGTCATACAGTTTTAAGATCTTTTCAAACTATGATTTCTAATAATAGTATTCCAACTTCTGTTGTAGTTTTGAATTATTTTGTTACCATAATTTTGATACAAATAATCASTTTTCGCTACATAAAATTTGTAATTAAAAATTACTATTCAGAGCCATTTGTAACTCCTCTTTTATTCAATAAATATTAAGAATTTCTAAATTCTGTCTCTTTGCATTTCCCTAAAAATACTTCATATGTATTCAGCACACAAGAAATAATACCACAGTTACACAGAAAATGTGTATTAGGATAGAATTAAGCAAATTWAAACCACTATATCTACCATGACGCGCTACAAATGAAATATCTTTCGTTTTAAAAATATCCGTTCGCACAAACCATTCACAATCAATTCAGCTGAGTGCTCAGCTCGTCCGGCTGAATTGCTTGCAATGCAAGTATAATTGCCCGCGTGTTTCGCCTCGATTGCGTCGATCATTAAATTGTGTATACGTTGACCACGTTTCTCAGTCAAAATCTCCAGTTCCGGTAATAACGGGTGTCTGTTCAAAGTCCATATTACAGAGACGGGTAGATCACCACCCGAAATAGTGCAATGTACTGAAACAGGCTCGCCAAAGTTCATGGGTTCGTCACCAAACGAGAACGGCGTAATTTTCGGTGGTACTTAAGGCAACAATTTCAGAAAAGGATAATAATGAAAGAAAGAAATAGAAAACAAAAAATATTACTTTCAAACTCTTACACCAACCGTTAACAATTAAGCGAGCTGTATGCGCGGTTATGCCCGCTTTATTTTGAGCATGACACGAATAAAAGCCGGCGTGATGCGCAGTCACTGCTTCAATGGATAAAACATTGATGCGTTTGCCGATACGCGAAAAGGATATATCGTGGTATCTATCGATGGTGGCGTTATTCAGCAACCAGGTAACATTGATGGGTAGGTCACCGCCGAGTATGGTGCACTGTATAGACGCGGGTTCGCCGTAGTTGAGAGGCTCTTCACCAAAATCGAATGGTGCAATTTTCGGAGCGACTTTTGTAGGAAAATAAACAAAATTTTTTGTAAGCGCGTGCTTACAATTTACACTTCTTAATAAACATAATTTKATGCAAGAAAAATTTATGTTTTATATATGTAAACACGATTCAGCACACTTCTCAATAAGTTGATGCATCCAACATTTCAAGAAATTCTTAATAAAGACTGCTGATACAATTCAGCGCAACCTAAACAAAATTTCAGGCTATAATAAAAATTTAATCGGTACACAAGTGGGAAGATGGGTGAATTTAAAATAATGAAAAATTATAATACTAATATTATCATATCCAATATAGTGCGGCTTTCTTAATAGATATAAAACAAACCATTCACAATTAAACGCGCTGCATGTTCGGTAATGCCGGCTTTATTATGCGCGCGACATGAATAGTTGCCCGCATGATGTGCCGCGACTGCTTCGATGGTCAACACATTTACTCGCTTGCCAATACGCGATAATGATATGTCATGAAAGCTATCAATAGCAGCGTTATTCAGCAACCATGTAACGTTGATGGGTAAATCACCGCCGAGTATGGTGCACTGTATGGAGGCGGGTTCACCGTAGTTAAGCGGTTCTTCACCAAAATCAAATGGCGCGATTTTCGGAGCAACTTTTGCAATGAGATCATGAAAAAATTAAACATTTTTTTCTTTAGCTTATAAGCTTAGCCAATTTGAAATATTAAAATTGACTGTTGAATTAAGCGCTAAACAATTAAAGTAATTCAGCGCATTTAATAAGAGGGTCAATGCTTTGACGAAAAAAAAAATCTGTGAACTATTTGTATTATATATGATTGAACATCTAATAAAAAATTGTAAGCACAGCTTTAATTACATATGAAACTTTAAATAGTTCTAAAACCAGTTAAAACTGTTCGCAATTTCACAAGTTAAATGACATGTGAAGTGGATTGGATTTAAGGTTTAAATTAAAATAATATTACATAGTATAACAAACAGTAATTTCAAGTTTTTGCAAACCATTCACAATTAACGGTGTCGTATATTCAGCCCTTCCCGCCCAATTTTCAGCGATGCAAGTATAATTTCCCGCATGATCAGCTGTCACGCTTTCTATGGCCAGAACATGTGTATGTCTTGTGAATTTTGTCGTTGCTATATTCAAATGGTCAGGCAGATGATAATCATTCAGCAACCACTTAACACTCATTGGCCAATCACCACCGGCAATGGTGCATTGTATAGACGCGGGTTCACCGAAGTTCAAAGGTTCTTCGCCGAATTGAAAAGGCGTTATACGCGGCGGCACTGAGCGATTTTAGTAACAGTGTGTGTGCGAGAGAATATAAGATATGTTTCTTGTAGTTTAGTAACATCAAATGGAAAATTTGGGTTGTAGAGGTAAGATTTGTTAGATAATGTGGTGAAGTGTAATTTGTTATGTACGTTTTACATAGTTACATTTACTCTCAAATATACATAGTGCACATAAATAGGAGCTCAACAGCTAGTATATCTTCATAATATGTATATAATTAGAGGAGGATTTTTTGAACACCGCAACCGAGCCCACCAATATTATATGTGATTGAAAAAAAAAAAAAAATCCACAATGATTGTTAGTCATTTAAGATAGGCTTTGATAAATCGTGTATTCATATCTATTATACCATTCACGGTAATATTTGTGCTGTACGTCGTTGAGCCAGCCTCATTACTGGCCGTACAAGTGTAGGTGCCAGTGTGTGCTGGTGTGGCACGCGGTATCGATAACACACTCGATTTGCTACTAAAGCGATTTGTACGCATTATCGGTTGGAGTGTGTCGTATCGCGCGTCACCAGCGGCGCGTTCAAAACTCCAGTTGATTTTGATTGGACGATCTCCTTTCTGTATTTGACAAAGCAAATCGATGGAGTCGCCTGTGTTGATTATGTCATCGTAACTGAAGGGTGTGATTTGTGGAAGGACTAAAGAATAAATTTGCAAAATTTAGAATAACGCTTTTTCAAGTTATAGTTCATTTTAAATCAACGCAGAGCAGTTCAGTTTAAATATTTTCTTTCTAATCATGAACTACAAAATTAGGCACGTTTCAATTATTTTCATTCASCGATGTTTTAATTATTTTTTTGCTATTCGATTTATTCAGCGGCATTTAATTTACGTATTTTAAAACAAAATACACAAAAATTAATAAGATGCCTTAAATTTTTGCCTTCTAACTTAATTCAGCGCAATTTAAAGTTTGCTAATATTTTATTTCCGAATTCAGTTTAATTCAGCGCAGTGCAATTCAGCTCCAATATTTTCTTTCTAATCATGAACTATGAAATTTGGCACGATTCAATTAATTTTTACTATTCAGCGCAATTGATATTTTTTTGATTGAATTCAGCGGCATTAAATTTTCATTTAAAACAAAATATCCACAAATTAATAAGATATGTTCAATTTTCACTTTTTACCTTAATTCAGCGTAATTTAAGGTTTGCTAATATTTTATTTCCAAATTAAACTTGAGTTTAACAGCTTTTTTTTTTTAAACACATTCAGCCATACTAAAACACTTACATACATATTTAAACTTAATTATTGTGCTTTGTGAGTATTGTGGATGAACGTATAAATTACAACAAAGAAAAGGATACTAAACATACATAAAGATTTCAAAATAAATATGCTGAATGTCTTCATCTTAAGCAAATACCATTAACCAGCAATTCAGCAGTGTAAGCACTCTGGCCCGCTTTGTTATTGGCCAAACACGTATAATTGCCCGAATTCRCAGCTTTCACCGATTCCACTGTCAATAAGCTAATGCGATCACCAATCTTGCTAGCCAACACACCCATATGCGAAAACAATGGCAACTCGTTATGGGTCCAACGAATCTTCAGCGGCAAATCACCCTTTGCCACATGACAAGTCAGCTGTACGCTGTCCCCCTCATTGGCTTCAGCATCGAAGTTAAAAGGATGTATTGCAGGTAGTACTACACATGTACAAACATACATAAAAARGGGAGGATGGGTTGTAAGCCGGCAAGCGAAAGTGAATAGGAAGCGTAGGGAAAATACAAATGTTTTATTTTTTATGTACAAAAACTTATACATAATATGATTATAAACCAATTATGTGAGTTAGTAGCAAACAATAATCGATTTTTTATGTTTAATAAATTTTCTTTCAATAACCATTGACTTCTAACTCGGTTTGATAGGAACTCACGCCCGCGCGATTCGTTGCTATGCACGCGTAGACGCCACGATGTTCGGCGGCAATATAATCAATATTCAATGTACTCGATTTTGTCGACATGCGACCGATAATAATTTCGTAATCGCCAGTTTTCAACGTTTGATTATTCAGCGTCCATGTAATATTTATGGGTAGATCACCTTTGGTGACCGAACATTGCACACCCAGAGAATCACCAGAATTTGTGGCTTCATCACCAAATGAGAAGGGCATAATTTGTGGTGGCACTGTAGGCAAAAGAGGAAGAGTTTTGTGTGACAGTGTACAAAAGGCAAGGAAACTTTCTTTAAAATTAAAATTTTCCAAAATTAAAAGTAATTTAAAACTTCTAAGTACATTAATTGAGTTAATATTCAGCGCAGCCACCATTCACTAGTAATTCAGCTATTTGCTCTGCGCTGCCCGCCGCATTGCTCGCAATACATTTATAGGTGCCACGATGATGTCCGTTGATGGCATCGATGCTGAGCGAACTTAATTTTGGTGACATTTTAATAATACGTATGCCGGCGTGTTCATTTGTGATCAGTTGTCCATTCAGCGTCCAGTGGAGTTGTAGTGGCGTATCGCCTTTGAAGACCATGCACTGCACAGCGGTGCTATCGCCGTAATTTGAGGGTTCCTCGCCAAAACTGAACGGCATTACTTGTGGCGCGACTGATAAAAATGTGCAGTTCATAMAAAAGATGTATACATTGCAATTTTTGTATAAACACATAAAATAAATTATTATTGCAAACTTAAAAATTTTATATTTAATATTTTTGAACCTAACACTAATAAATTTTTCTTTAATGTAACTATTTAGTATGAAATAATGGCAAAACAGTTAAGAATTAATTTACAATTCACACATTTTCGACGATCATAGAACGACGAATTCAGCAAATGTGCACGCAAAAAATGCGAAAGCGTTTTCATATCACTACAGTACTACAAAAAGCCTATTCAGCGTGWATGCGAAACTACAATTAATTCTTGCAAGCGTATTCTCAACAAAAACAAACCGTTAACTTGTAATTCAGCTACGTATTCGCTGGTTCCCGCCTCATTTGTTGCGATACATTTATAAGTACCGCGATGCAACGCTGCCAATGAGTCGATATTCAGCGAACTGGTACGTTTATTCAGACGAATTAGAGAAAACCCATTTTCACCATTCACAATAGGCGCCGAATTCAGCGACCAACGTATTTTAATAGGCAAATCTCCTTTGGGTACGACACAAGTAGCGCTTGCAATTTCACCCATATCAGCAGTATCTTCTCCAAACGAAAACGGTAAAACTTGCGGGGGTACTTTAATTTAAAGAAACGATAAGCGTAAAACAACAAAAACACTACAACAAATAAACGTWAAACTAAATATATTTATATATTTTTTCTATAAATGTTTGCTTGCACAAACCATTCACATGCAACTCAGCACTATATTCAGCACTGCCCGCCTTGTTTGATGCAATGCACTTATAAATGCCGCGATGACGCGCTTCCAACGAATCAATATTAAGCGAGCTGGTGCGTGGATTCATACGCGATAGCGTAAAACCATGTTCGCCGGTTATAATAGGCGCTGAATTTAAGGTCCAACGTATTTCTATGGGGAGGTCACCCTTCGGAATTAGACAAAACACTGCGGCGATCTCGCCAGTATTCACAGGCTCCTCACCAAAATCGAATGGTTGTATTTGGGGTGACACTTAATTTAAATTGAAGGATAATGGATAATATGGTATGAAWACGACATAAAATAAAAACAAAACACAATTTGTAGATATAATAATATAACTGCAATATTTACACTAATTACTAAGAAATATCGAGTTTTCAAACAAACCGTTCACTTCTAAAACCGCAACATATTCTGCATAACCCGCTGAATTGTTCGCTAAGCACTTGTAAGTGCCGCGGTGCATTGCTTCGAGTGAGTCTACATTCAGCGAACTTGTGCGTTTGTTCATTTTAAATATGTTAAAACCATTTTCACCGTTTACAATAAGCGCTGAATTCAATGTCCAGTATATGTCGAGTGGTAAATCGCCTTTTGGCACGACGCAAGTAACACTAGCAACCTCGCCACGATTAAGTGGTTCGTCACCGAAACTGAATGGGCTAATTTGTGGTGCAACTATGGGCAGAAATACAGAAAGTGTATATTCAGCTATGCTGAATTTGAACAACAAAGCGAAACTGAAATAGCCTGATCAGTAACCTAACTGTGTGGAAACCTCGAATACATTTAAACCGCGAAACCCAAAAAAAATTAAAAATTGTCACTTCAATTTTCATTGGGCGTATTTTTATATTCTTGTATACAACTTCACAATTTATTTGCTATTCAGCGCAGACTTAGCTCGTCTTGTTCTGAAAAAAAAAATACTACTAACACACTACACCAACACCAATCGTATCGAATATGCAGCTCCTTTGAGAATTTATAAAAGAGTTGGGTGTAGAAAATAAGCTTCAAAATCAAGCGCGTGAATACTTTGTAATTCAGCACAGAGGTTTAGCGTTGAAAAAGCTAATATAGGGATTATTATTATGTATACATATTTATATTTACTTATTTCATAGCAAAAAATATTTTTTGTTTTTTTATTAAACGCACCATTAACATGTAATTCAGCCGCATATTCAGCAAGTCCGGCCAAGTTCACAGCTATGCAACGATATATGCCGCGATGTTTGGCCTCCAATGAATCAACACTTAAGTAGCTTGTACGCGCATTCAATTTCATAATAATAAAACCATCGACGCCTGATGTTATAGGCTCATTATTGATGGTCCAATGTATATCGAGCGGTAAGTCGCCCTTCAGAACTACGCAATTAATGCTGATAATGTCGCCCATATTAACCACTTCGGCGGGAAAACTAAAAGGCAGCACGTGTGGAGGAACTGTGTGGGATTTGAGTTAATTTTAATTTGATTTAGCGCTAATTCAGCAAATTTTAAATAATTCCTTTTTTAATTTGGCATTCAATTTCATTTCCAGGCTTGAATTAACGAATTCAAAAACCACAGCAGACTTTGCTCGAAAATCATATGGGTGAATTAGAATTTTCAAAAAAAAAAGTACTAAACAAATTTATTTTCAGCGCCAATTCAGCACATAACATTTTGTATCTATGATTAATTTCACACTGCACCAACACCAAATTTGTCGATATACTCGTTTATTATTTTATATTTGCCGAAAGTGGTATAAAAGATGTGTTTCTAGAAGAATTAAGCGACASCTCAGTGTAATTCAGCACTTTTATGCAGCGAATAAAATACTACGTATGCAATAATTGTTAGTAAAATTACGTTAACTATTTATGRTGGTATAATTTGGTCGGTCACGCACCATTAACCTGCAATTCAGCAGCATATTCAGCAATTCCAGCTAAATTGACAGCTATGCAACGGTAAGTACCACGATGTTTAGCCTCCAATGAGTCAACGCTCATGTAACTGGTGCGAGCATTCAATTTCATTATATTAATACTATCGACTCGGTTAGAAATTGGTTCGTTATTTAGCGTCCAGAATATATCGAGCGGCAAATCGCCTTTTAAGATCATACATGTAGCGCTTATCATATCGCCCATATTAACAACCTCAGCGGGAAAACTAAAAGGTAATATGTGTGGCGGAACTGCGCAGAAAAAGGATATATACAATATTTGCTCAAAAGGAATTTTGGGAGTATAGGAAAAATTAACTAAAAGAGAAATTAAATGGTTTAAAATTTTGTAAGCGTTTATATTGCTGACAAACCATTAACATGTAATTCAGCTGAATATTCTGAAAATCCCGCTTTATTGTTCGCTATACACTTATAAAGGCCACGATGTTTTGCCTCAAGTGTGTTAATACTCAGTGAGCTTGTGCGTGGATTCATGCGCATTAAAGTGAACCCTTCTTCGCCGTTTATAATTGGTGCCGAATTCAAAGTCCAGCGGATATTCAGCGGCAAGTCACCCTTAGTAACCATACACTGTGCGCCAGCCATTTCACCGAAATTCAGAGCCTCATCACCAAAACTGAATTGCATAATTTGAGGCGGAACTAACGCCAATGTAAGGTTGAAGAATGGAGCGAGAAAATTAAAATTTTTGGGTGCCAAAATTATTCAACAAAKAAATTTAACAAAAGTTATATAATCCTTTACAACATTTTATGTATATTTAAGATCTATTTTGTACCATTAACTTTCAAATCGGACGCATAAAGGCTCGACCCCGCCTTATTTTCCGCAATACATTTGAATAATCCACGATGATGTTCCTCAACGGCAGCGATATTCAGCACACTTGTTTTTGGCGATAGTTTCAATATTGTTATGCCCTCTTCCCCGTTAATAATGGGTCTTGAATTCAACGTCCATTTAATGTTAATTGGTATATCACCCTTTTGAATCATACACTGCACGCCAGCATTTTCGCCATTATTTATGGGTTCGTCGCCAAAAGAAAATGGCATAATGGAGGGAGGAACTGGTAAGGGGAGGAAACTTTAAGCGTATAAGAAAGCAATAAAACAAACTACAACATCGACTACAAAAGCAGCTAACACCCAAAACTTTATACCATTAACTTTCAATTCAGCGACGTAAGAGTCGGCGCCGGCTTTATTTTCAGCGATACATTTGAAAATTCCACGATGATGTTCTTCTACTGAGGCAATATTTAGAACGCTACTTTTCGGCGACAACTTAAGTATAGCTAAACCCTCTTCGCCGTTTATAACCGGCCTAGAGTTGAGAGTCCACTTAATCGTAATGGGTACATCACCCTTCTGTATCATACACTGTACGCCAGCGCTCTCGCCAGTGTTGACAGGCTCCTCCGCAAAAGAGAAAGGCACTATGGAGGGAGGAACTGATGGCGGAAGGAGAAAATTATGACTGGTTTAAACCAAAACAAGAAACAGCAGAAAAGGATTGTAAAATTTGCGGAAAGAATAAAGAATATATTTTCAAATGATTTGTTGAAATCAAGAACTACCATTGACAAGTAACCACGATGCATGTTCAACACTTCCAGCCGAATTGCTCGCCACACAGCTGTAATTGCCGGCGTGACGCGATCTCACCGATTCTATATTCAACATACTAATACGTTGACCGCTACGTGTTATCACCACACCATCGTTGGAACCGAAGAGTCGAAAACCGTTAAAACGCCAAAAGATGTCCAAAGGTAAATCACCCTTGGTTACGGCGCAATTGACAGTAGCCATATCCTGTGCATTAACGGGTGCGCCGAAGTCGAAGGGTAAAATTTGTGGTAGAACTATGGAGCGGTAAAAGGTTTTGGAAGACGAAAATTATTATGTACACAAACAAAAAATTCTCAAAAATAGAAGACTATATATTATATAACGCCACAAAACTATATATCGCTCTCAAACCATTCACAGCTAATAAAGCCGACTGCTTGGTCTCGCCGCCATTATTTGTCGCCACACAGCTATAATTGCCCGCATGACGTGCCCGAACCGACTCGATGCTGAGTACGCTAATGCGTTGACTAGTGCGCGTGACAACTAAACCATCGTTGGTAAAGACGCGTCCACCATTACGCGTCCAGTAAATATCCAGCGGAAGATCACCCTTTTTAACGCTGCAGTAAGCCGAAACCATATCCATTTCATTAATGCTCTCATCACCAAAATCGAAGGGTAGTATTTGTGGTAGCACTGGGGTAGGGTAATCGTAGAGGCGTTTGGTAAGGGAATAAACATTAAATCAAAAAATGTAATTATCAAGAAGTATAACTTAAAAAAGCAGTGAATTATTTTGTATATCGTTTGTAATTTAACCATTAACGGCTAGTAACGCCCACTGCTTAACCACGCCACCGTTATTTGTCGCCACGCAGCTGTAATTGCCAGCGTGGCGTGCGCGTACCGATTCGATGCTGAGTACGCTAATGCGTTGACTATTACGTGTCACTACTAAACCGTCATTCGTGAATACGCGTCCACCATTGCGCGTCCAATAAATATCCAGCGGTACGTCGCCCTTGTTTACTGTGCAATATGCTGACACCATATCCATTTCATTAATACTTTCCGCGCCAAAGTCGAAAGGCAAGATTTGTGGTAGGACTGAATTGGCGGATGGGGGAAAGGAAATAAATAGCAGAAAAAATGGAAAAATTCTACATTTAATGAAAACAATTTATAACGCTCTCAACCATTCACTGCCAACATGGCAGATTGTCGCGTTGCACCAGCATTGTTTGTCGCCACACAACTATAATTGCCCGCATGACGCGCACGCACCGATTCGATACTTAGAACGCTTAACCGTTGGCTATTCCGTGTGACAATCAAACCATCATTCGTGTAGACTCTTCCGCCGTTTTTCATCCAATATATATCGATTGGCAGGTCGCCTTTATTGACTGTACAAGAGGCCGAAACCATATCCTGTTCGTTGATGCGTTCCTCGCCGAAATCGAATGGCACAATTTGTGGCAAAACTGCATGAGTGGAGGGGAATGAAAGTACGCAGGTAGGAAAAGGAATGCAACTGTGTTAGCGCAGATTAAATTATAAAGCAATAAAAAATAGTAAAATCATTAACGTAAATGACTCTAGCGCTAAAGCTAACCATTAACCGCCAGCACAGCCCAATGCGTGATAACGCCAGCATTATTTGTCGCGACGCAGCTGTAATTGCCAGCATGACGCGCACGCACCGATTCGATGCTCAAAACGCTCATGCGCTGACTAGTTTTCGTAACGACCACACCATCGTTCGTGTAAACACGTCCGCCATTCTTTGTCCAAGCTACATCTATTGGAAAATCGCCTTTATTGACAGTGCACGATGCCGATACCATATCCAGTTCGTTAACGCTCACCTCACCGAAGTCGAAGGGTACAATTAGTGGCAGAACTTGTGAGTTGTTAGAGAGATTAAAGCGGAATTACGGTAATTTTACTAAAGAACTTTGGTATTCAGTAGAATTTGAATTTTACAAAATACAATTTAAGCTTTTAAGACCATTCGTATGTTTATACTATAACTCGCATTTTCATTAAAATGTTACATATCACAGGGTACAACGGTGCTTAAATTAGTGAGAAACCTAAAATGCAAAAGAACCTAAAAATGTAACAACTACTCGGCTACAAAATTCAAAAATCTTTAAATTTGTTTGCTAGAATTTCTAAAACTCGTTCATCGACGAACCATTGACACTCAGCTCGGCGGTGTGATAGGCCTCGCCGGCCGCATTACGCGCTACACAAGTATAGTTCGCACGATGTCGCGCATGTACCGACTCTATGCTCAGCATGCTAATACGTTGCGTGGTTTTTGTTATTAGTATACCATCGTTGGTCACCAGTTTGCCTGAACCGCCTAGTTTTGGATCCGGCGCTGTAGTCCAATACAAAACGATCGGTGTATCGCCTTTATTGACAGTGCATGTGGCCGAGACCATATCATTCATGTTGATCGCATCTTCACCAAAATCGAAGGGAACAATTTGTGGCGGCACTAATTGGTGATGGAAAGGGAATAAAGTGTTACCAATGTATTGCTTAACTGGAGAACACAACAAACCCACGTTGATACTCGCTGAAGAGTGAGTATTTAACCTAATCATCTTATCAAATTGTTCAGCCACAAAAAAAAATTACCGGTTGAGTGTAAAGACGAAGCAATTCTTARCAGAAGGCTTACTTTTAATGTAGCAATTGTGAGTTTAGCGGACGGACTTTTGGACTGCTTCGCCGTTGCACTACAAAACCGGTTTGGTGTTGTAAATTGGATCATTTCCTCGCTTAACGGCACAGGCAAATGATCAATAAGTTGTGTATGAAACTTACCCATAACTTGTACTTCTAATGAGCCGCGCGCTGAATAACCTTCGGCATTCTTAGCTACGCAAGTGTAAGTCGCTTGATCGGAATTACGTTCCACATTCTCAATTATCAAAGTGCCATTTGGGAAGACCTTCTGTTTGCGGTTGATGGGTAAAGCGCGATTGTCTAAAAAATAAGTCGTCATATTTTTAACAAGTACTACGCACAAAAACACTTAATTACTACTCACCACGTTCCCAAACGATCGAATCAATTGGATAGCCTGCTACGGGGCAGGTTACCATTAAAGTTTCGCCTGCTACAATAGCTTTCTTTTCCATCTGACGAATGTAGGGTAAACCGTAGACATTTAATTTTGCCGAGTGTTCGGCTACGCCAACTTTGCTCTTCGCTATACACTTGTAGAGACCGCCATCGTTCGCATGCACAGATGTGATATTCAAATAGGAGACRACATCACCATTTACTGTCACATATTGGCCCACTTGGTAACGATCAATATTTGCGATTTTCTTGCCATCGAGTTCCCATGAGATTTCAGGTGTTGGATTGCCGCCAGCTACACACTTGAGGAAGACGCTTGGTCCAGGTTCCATTGTCTCTTCTTGGAATGCCTGTCGTATAACTGGTGGATCGAAACGGCCGCCTAATTTCAATTCAGCACTCGCTTCTGCAGATTCTTGATCGTTGCGCACGAAACACTGATACATGCCCTTATCTTCCTTCTTCACCGATTCGATGCGTAATACCTGATCACTGTGTCCAATCGATTTGCCATCCTTCAACCAACTGATAGTCTTAATTGGGTTACCACTATATTGGCAAGTGAATACAGCTGGGCGGCCGAAATCAATAGTTTGTGTGGGTGGATCGATTTTCGCTGAAAGTGGTGCGGTCACAGTGAGCACAGTTTCTACGCTCTCACCGCCAACTGAGTTATTGACGACACACAAATATTTGCCAGAATCTTCGACCACAGCATCCTTAATAATCAATGTGCCAGAAACTTGTTTCACGCGCTCATTTAGTATAACGGCTTGTTTGCGTGTGGTGCCTTCAATGAACTTATACCATCTGCAATAGAGAGTGAARTGTTAACAAAGTTATACATAACCTAAAAGAACGCACGAAGATGGTTAAAAATGAAAAAAAAAAACAAATGAAATGCTATGCTATGCGCTGTGTTGGTTGGTGATCAAATAAAATTGTTCTTCTAAGCCCATCAAATGAGATGAAAGTTACGAAAGCTTCAACAAAATTTAATATGAAGCTAAAGTAATTGTGAAAGCAACAACGAATATGTTTGGCATGAATTACGTACAGGAACGATATACCCACCTTAGCGTTAAGCATTGAACTAAGTACTTACCTTACGAATTTTGTTGCATAACTTAGCATTTCATTTCAATTTCTCTTTTTTCATTTTTAACCAGCTTTTTTTTTTAGAAAACTTGCTTTTAGGACCCTCGATAAAGCCTAGTACGACCTAACAAAAAGGAACACACATTATAAAATCGTCGACGAGAACATGGAAAAATCAGCTACATATATTGAGCTCTAAGAGMTTTGAAAGAGTTTATGAAGATCGTGAAAGCTTATACTCAAGAGGCAAGATAAAGCTTCTTGCTACTAATTATTGCCTAAAAGTAAAGATTTAGCAGAAACTCATAAAACTTGCGGGATAAGAGAGACAAATAATATTTTCCGCCTAAAACACCGAGTTTCTGAGTTTGTGATATTCTTTCAAGAGTATATTAGAAATCTGCAAGAAAAAGCCCTTCTCAAATATGTACCTATAAACCGGCACTGGGTAGCCTTGACCTGGACAGTGACCAACAAAAGTACCGGCCAAAGGCACTTCATTAATCTCAATACTTTTAATAGCAATGCGTGGCTTCACATGACCAACTGGTTCTATAAAAGAAATAAAGTCAGAGGACACATCTACAAATGCAGTACAAGTATATCAGATAAACTACCTGAATTGTTTCAAATCATAACCACATTTTAYCTAAATAGCGGCATTGGATATGCTTGAGCCTGACAAAGTATGGCGAAGCTGGCACCTAGGCGCATTGTATGTTCTTGCAGACGATCACCGGAAACGGTTGGTGCGACGCTGCCGATAGGCTCTGGCGGAAAAAGAAATATTTTTTACCGTTTTTGCAAAAAGGAAAATAAAGTAGAAATAAAGGACAAACCACCTGAAGTTTTGATAGTGTTTATATACAGACCGGTTTGGCAGGGTTCTAGCAAGTATACTCTAAATTTTTCTGACTAAAAATTGAAAACTGTTTTTACTTTTACCGAAAAATAGGTGTTGGGTAGGATTGTCCCTGACAGAGCATAGTCACGCTATTGCTTGTCTCCTTAGTCACTTCTTGCAAGCGACCACCCGATATTTTGGGCGCCACGCTACCAACGGGTTCTATAGAGAAATTAAAATTTATTTAAAAGCTTTTTGCCAACTTTTATCTTTATATAAGGACATGAGAGTTAGTTTAGACGATTTTCGAAATAATTTTTCTTCACTGCAAACTGCCTGAGATTTAACACTTGATTGTAAACATGGTTAATTAAAAGCTTTCAAGATATTTGAAATCGATTTCATTTACTAATATTAAAACGTTTTCAGCATATGCTTTTCAACGAAACTAACCTTATTATAGGTACGGGAAAGGCTTGTGCTTGACACAATAGAGCAAAACTTTGTCCAAYTTCTTTTACAAATGTAAAGCTTTTAGATTCTCCAGAGAATGTAGGAGCTTTTGCGCCAACAGGCTCTACAAGTGAGGAAAAAATAATGGATTGCATATCAGATTAATAATGCCCTTTGTTGGGAAACTTGTAGTGATTTTAGATCTTTTCTATTAAAACTTTCCTTTGAAAACTTTTTTTAAATAAACAAACAACTTTAGTGTAAAAAATATTCTGTAGCTTTAACTACCTTATAACAGGAACAGGCCATGCTTGAGCTTGACACAACAAAGCAAAACTTTGACCAAAGTTGCGCGAAAATGTAAAACTTTTCAAGTCATTGGAAAAAGTGGGAGCTTTTGCGCCAACGGGTTCTAAAAAAGTTGGATTACAATAAATTGAGAATAACTTTAAATATTATTTAATCATCCAAAAAAATTTAATAACTCAATCACAAATTTACAGAACCAGTTAGTAGTGTAACGGAGCCCCTTAGCGAAAATCATATCGGCATAAGTTTTTGTTTAAACAATGGTCAGCAATACCTTATTATTGGCACCGGAAAAGCTWGAGCTTGACACAGAAGTGCAAAGCTTTGTCCCACGGCGCGTATATAGGAGAAAACATTTGAGTCTGTCGAGAACGTAGGAGCCTTAGCGCCTACCGGTTCTACAAAAATATATTGAAAAGGAAATGGTGTYAACTTTTTACATGTAAAATAAAGTWTTAAAMAAGCTTTTTGTAGTGAAGGACTACTTCCTGCGTTGTAATGCGAAATTAAAAGAAAAGGTTTACTGGCAGGTATACCTAAATAATGGCACTGGATAGGCTTGAGCTTGACACAGGAGCACTAAATCTTTGCCTTGAGCTTCCACGAAAGTGCTGCTTTTCGCTAGGTTGGGAAAAGCGGGCGCTTTAGCACCAAGTGGTTCTTGAAAATGAGAAAAATATAAAATGTAATACATACTGACTAAGAAGATCATGAAAACTGCCTGTTGAGAGCTTTTAAACAATTTTAAAAAACTTTATATGACAATTAGCTTAAAGCTCTTTACCTAAATAAAGGCACCGGATACGCCTGTGCTTGACACAACAGCACAAGGTCTTTGCCTTGTTTCTCAATAAATGTGCCGCTTTTTAAAGCGGTTGGAAATGCGGGAGCTTTGGCACCAAGTGGTTCTTTAAAAATCAAAATMAATTATCTAAATATTGAATATAATTTTTTACAAAAAATTAACTGTATGAATATTGCCTGAATGTARTAGAAGTGGGAGGACGTTTTAAATCTTATAAAATCGTTACCTTGTCAGCGGCACTGGAAATGCTTGAGCTTGACACAAAAGCACTATGTCACTGAAACTTTTACCCATAAGTGTGCTTATTTTCGATACGGTGGGAAAGGTGGGACCTTTAGCACCAACGGGCTCTATGAATGTAAAAGCAGTTTTATTGCAATATATAAAACATACACAAAATCAATAAATTTCAATAATTGAGAACTGCCCAAGAATATTTTAATATGTAATATAAATAAATAAAATAAAATAAAAATTGAGATTAAGTGTACACGAATCTCAATTTTTTGGAAAAACACGTGGCACATAATCTTGTTAATTATTTTCTTCTTGCCCTTAAATCGMAACAAAACTAACCTTATTATAGGTACCGGAAAAGCTTGAGCTTGACAAAGCAATGCAAAGCTCTGACCGACACTGCGTGTAAATGAAAATGAGCTGGAATCGGTGGAGAAAGTGGGAGCTTTAGCTCCAACGGGTTCTAAAAATTTTTAATTGTCAAAATATTAGATATGGGAATTTATTGAATATGAGAACTGCCTGAATATAAAGGAATATCAAACATAAAGCCATTTATTTTCARACTTTTGGCTTATAAAAACCTTTACCTTATAAATGGCACAGGAAAAGCTTGTGCCTGACACAAAAGCGCAAAGCTAGAATTCACTGAGCGTACAAAAATGCTACCCTTGGAATCACTTGAGAATGTTGGTGYCTTAGCGCCGACAGGCTCTGAAGTAAGAAAGAAATACATACAAGATTTCAAATATATTATAATATAATAAATAACAAGACCAGTTGGCAGGTGGCGCGCTGAATGGTGGATGATTTTCGCGCATTACTCAATTGAAATAAATAAAATAAACGATGGACGTAATTTAATMTCTATGTTTTCTGTAACTTTCAGGTGGAACGATTAAGTTTTMTATATTTTTGTTTCCTATAAATTCAGTATTTTTTCACTTATTACCTAAAAATAGGTACCGGAAAAGCTTGAGCTTCGCATGTCATGGCCAATGTACTACGMCTAGGTGCATAAATTGTGAAGGTGCTGGCAACACTTGGAAATGCAGGTGCTTTAAAGCCCACGGGTTCTAAATATTATATAATTACCGATATATGCAATTAGAAATCTAAAGTCGTTTATAATTGAAAATAGGTGCCGAATGTTGGGGTTTGTCGTGAACATTTAAATTTAAACTTATATTGAATTACAAAATACATTCTTCTGACCTAAACACGGGCACAGGAAACGCTTGAGCTTGACAGAGAAGCGCTAGAGTAGAGTATATTGGTGCTCGGCTCGAAAATGTTTGTACCTCACCGGAGAAGGCAGGCGCCTTCGAACCAATTGGCTCTGAAAATATTTATTATTCGAAAGGAGAATAGAGTGCGAATACTGAAGAATATTTTCCTGAATGTGGGGTGATATATTTTCCATAAGGTAAACTGTTTTAATATACGTTTTTTTCAACCATCGTGCTTTAAAAAAAAAGTAATAATAAAAAATAAAAGAAATTTAATAGACTGTCCAAAGAAAANAAATTTAATAGACTGTCCAAAGAAAAAATTTATCGTGCCAGTCTGCACTATGAACAATTATGTTAATTAATTCTAAAAGCTGATGAGGTTCCATGACATTTTTTCATGCAGGAAATACGCTTGAGGAGTTTCGAAGTACAACAACTAATAAATATCTATTTTTTAAACTTAAACTATCTTAAGTTTGACACGAAGCTTGTAATACCCTGAAAAATACTTTGGAGAACCTATACAATATTTTCCTAAATAATCATCTTAAATCCACCTCATCAGAGTCGATTTAGCCATGCCGTATAATAATCCCTCAGTTTATGAGGTATCGCTCTGAAATTCCGTACTCTTGCTTTGCTCTCCACGATATATGGAACCGCCGATATCGGACAACTATAGCATACACTATCGATTACTATGGCATACATACAGTCGCCGTATAAACGGACCAATCAAAATTTTGATAGAGATCTTTTTATACCCTGTATGGTATAAGAAATACACCAGTGAAGGTTAGAACAGATTAACGTGCAGCCGAAATTAATGTAT